CATTCGTGAGATTTACACACCCACCAACACCCACAGGAAAGAGGGGAAGACCTCAAGTCATGTCTCTTCATCCCACCCAACCCCAACCACAGCCACAGAGGGGAAGAAAAGGTCCCTAGCAAGCGCGTGACCATATATGGCACTGTGGAGGGCTTGCCTTGTTTCACTTGAAGCAAGGATGGTCCATGCGCGGGATGTTGCTCGCCTGACTCGCCATATCATCCAGGTGCGGATGACAAGTACCGGCCTGTCTTTTACGCTTGTGCTTGCTTTGGTCGGGAAAGGTAGAACGTGGGTCAAGAAGCTGGATGGGGTCAAGTCTTGTAACACTTACGTTTTTGACGGGGTGGGTGTTGTTGTCTTTCCAAGTGGGGTTGGCTTTTTGTCAATCTGGAGTTTTGGCCTTGCCAGCCGTAAGTACGCTGAGCCAAATTGATAAAACAATGGTAGATGGGTTGTGCCTCGGATTGTGTTAAGATATGTTGCGGGTTGGTTTGGGGATGAGAAGGGGACGATTTGGATGAAACAGGCAGGTCATTCGAACGGGCACGTCAGGCTGGCCATTTCTCGAGCCGTGTCTGCCTCGCTAGACCGAACACAAAATAGTCCTGGTGATAGGAACGCCGACAATGAGACCCATGCTTTTGCCCTAAACCAAAGACCCTAACCCTAGGCCCTAAACGTAGCGCTTTCATGTTCGTCTGGGAAAGTGCCAGGTTTCTCCAGAGTTAGATTATCACCTGGCTGTGGACAGCTCCTGCTCAGCAGTTCAATGGTTGTCTGGGTTGCTGTTAAGGAAGTTAATTTGAGCTACTGGGAAAACCTTATTAGTTACTATATATACCCATTATGGCAACTTAACTTAAGTTCCTTAACAGCACCCCAGTTGTGGTAGAGCTTGCGGGCAAAGGAACAGGCTTCAACAATTATCAATACCAGGGCTTCCTCGTGTTCATAGAATTATTGTATCATGAGCCCCAAAAGCCCATTCGAATGATGTAGGCCATAGATTTATAGTGGAATCGATGAGGACACTGTCTGAAGTAGGGGAGCCATTGCACAAAATGGGTCTGCACCCCCTCCTTTAGCGAAGCTTTGCGCTAGCTCATCGCCCGAAACTTGTTGTGGGGAGTGTCTCCAAATCAAGCATGCATTCGAAGAGCCGTATGAAGCAAGGGCCTTTGAGCATTTGGACCTTGAACGGGTGACCCTTCGATGAAAAGCGAGTAACTTCCCGCAGCCGGTTATCCATAGTAACCGGGCTCCATAAAGTTTAGGAGTGCACTTCGTTAAAAAAGAGCTCTTGAGTGCACTTTCCTTGTGGCAGCTTGGGCGTTTGGTTCGACTACATATAGGTTTCCCTCCGTAGCCTCTGAACCCAAAACCCTAAAGAAAGTTTAGCCTGTCGTTTTTTGGTAGGGCTCACGGTCTTGTACTGCTGACACCCCGTGAAAAGCCTAGGGCTGATATGGAGTTTCATGAGTAGGTTCCATTAGTCTACTTTAGTACACTCTGTTGGTGCGTCGAGTGCAATGGTGAGTTTTCAAGTAACCCACCATAACCCACCCCTTGCTCAAGTCGTGCCAGTTTCCGGGTGTTTGCGGAGGGTTCTCAGAAGTTCCCTCGAGGTTTCTGGGGACTTTCACTACACCCTTCACCCCGAGCTCTCAGCCCAAAACTGTAAACAATATAACCCCAATATACTATAGTAGCTTCCATTTTCTTTTCCATAATCCTTATATAAGTATATGATCCCAATAGACTATAGTAGTTTCCATTTTCTTTTCCATAATCCTTATATAAGTATATGATCCCGACAGACTACAGTAGTTTCCATTTTTTATTCCATTATCCCTCTAATAACCCCAATATACTAACATACTTGCCCAGGAGGTGATGTGACACAGAAAGCGCTCATCCAGACTGTTGCCAAGCAGCCAGGGGCTCGAAGGATGACGGGATGCCAAGGATCATGGGCTGCTGTTAAGGAATTTGAATTAAGTAGGCTGCCATAAGATGGGCATATAGTAAATACTAGGTTTCCCTATTATAGTGTTCCTGAACAGCAACGCAGAATTAATGGGAAGGCAGGAGCACGCAAGGACTCATCCAAGAGAAGTTCGCCATCAAGACATAATTTGTGTGTATATACATACACACGTGTGTATATTCATTTGTTTATATAGGCAGTTGCGGGGCTCAAGCCCGCACAAACGGCCCATGCTCTTTCCTATTATCATGTTTCGTTTGTTATGTGAAATTTTGGTGGTCCCTAAGAGGGTGTCGGGGAGCTTTGTGTCCGTGAGTTTGCATTTTTTGGAGCCTCTCTAAATTCAGGTTCAGCAGCGCAACAGGATGGGGCTGATTACGAAGACACCGCCAGGTGTTGGAGCTCACGTGATCAATCGTCCAAAGTCCTTACAGGGGGTTGGAGTTAGGGTTTTGCCCCTTTGCAAACCTTTTCGTTTGTCATCGATGAGATTGAACCATGCATCACAGCAGAGCGGCATTTTGTGTGCTCCAGCATGTTTGCGCAGCTTTCGCCTTAAGTTGCCCAACTCCAAGAATGTCTGTTGCTGGTCAGATTGTATGGCCCCCGGTCCAAATCCTGCTTTTCAATTAAGCTTGCACGCGGCTACATTTAGATGCCCACGCTGTTGAAGACTACCCTCTTCTTTGGACATACCAGCTTCCTACTGAGGATGTTAGAAAACAAGATCCCATTTTTCAGAGTTTAGACTTGCTGAGGCCCCAGCTGTAGCCACTAACTGCCTTAGCTTATATAATGCAGATACTTCCTAGCAGGATCGAAACATCCCTGCAAACTCTAGAGTCCTCAGAAGATGGGCAGAATAGTAATTTCTTCCAGAATCAAACCCTCAAGGTTGAGCCTTCAAGCCTAAAACTACGTCAGGTTTGACTTGCCGTACGAGCCAGCGTCAGTCACCGTAGCTGAGGTTCGTCTTTCAGGTCCAGTGTTTGGCCTTGTAGGTTTTGGGGGTGTTGTTTAGGGCTTTCAAGATCCAAGTTTCAGGTTTTATCTCTGCAGAGGGTTTGGTCATAAGGAGGTGAATACTGGGCTTCCTTCGGGGTTGTCAGGGATGTATTAGGCTTCCGTCTTTCCAAGAATACCGTATGTAGAGACATACTCGGGTAGTGATCGGGCTAGCGGTTCTCTCGTGGCTTAACGGTGTTCTAATTGGGTTGGCCCGGGATCGGAGGATGCAATGTAGCATTAGACCAGGCTTGTCTTGTGTAACGCGCCTTAATGTAGTGCATCTGGTGGAAGGCAAGCTCAGTCTCAATGCTAGATCTTCGTTTGGGAAGGGGAGATTCAATTAGTAAGTGTACTTGGAAGCTCTAAAAGCAATGATCATAGTCTTGTAGGAAGCTTGTTTATCCACCTCGGCTGGCTTCACAATGCCTTTGACCTTCGGGGTCGTGGTTTTAGAGGTTAATAGGTCATCAGGATTACGCAGGGTCTACAGGGTTGGGTGTATCATGGCCTCATCTGGAGGCTGTTCTAGCTGAGATGGCTGATATCTTCACAATGAACATCCGTCGTTGCCCAAGTGCCACGTGGGCCTGGGACTTGCGGTGGGAGCTTCATGATTGATATGGTAGTGTCCCTAAATAATAGGGGACCCCAATACAGACCCCAGAATACTACAGTCCTTATAGGAACTCCCAAGATCGTATCCATAATTTTGGGAAACCCCCCTTTGGAGGATTTTGTTGCTTGTCGGGCTGTCAGGTGGCCAATCTGTTGTTACAAACGCGACAAACTCTGAAACGCGTTGCTCTGAATTTGGTAGAAGACCTACCATGGGGGGAATGTCTGCGCATGTAAAGACTTTGGGATTATGTGGAGAGCTCGGCTAGACATGTAGAGTTATCACAAGTTTAGAGCACATCTCTCTAGTTGTAAGGTCTAAGTTCCCCACTTTGTGCCACCACAGAGCACAATAGACCACATAAATTTCCATCTGGCAAGCCTCTCAAGCATGTCGTGGGTCTTGGGGCAGGCCCCGTGGGCTCAGTTGCATATGCCACAAGTCTCTAAAAAGCAAAGAGTGCGTGAGCTACGGTTGTATCTCTCCTTCTATGTTTTGGACGGAAAGGGAGCGAGGAGGGAGGAGGATGAGGCAGAGGAGGTAGGGGGAGGCTTTGTCTTTGTCGAGCATGAGCAAGATGATCTAAACCCTAAATAGTAGCTTCCATTTTCTTTCCATTATCCCCTATATAACCCCAAAATACTATAGTAGCTTCCATTTTCTTTTCCATTATCCCCTATATAACCCCAATATACTATAGTAGCTTCCATTTTCTTTTGCACTATCCCTGTATAACCCCAATATGCATTTCTACATCCCTTGACCACCAGAGCTGCGGGTATGTCAAAAGCTCGAGCTTGCAGTCAGGCCTGCCAGGACTTGCTGTAGAGTTTCGGCCCAGGAGAACTAAGGCTACGCAAGGGGCAGCCGTACTTGCGTAACTAGAATGGCAGATTTTGGGTATCGCTCATGCAGATGTCGTATAGGGCTTTTAGGCCTTCTTTACAGTAGGAGTCTTTCTTGCGGCTACGGGGCCACCTTTCACATCGATCTCCAGATGTTGCATGTTTGAAGGGTGTCGGGTGACGAGATGACCGCCATACCGCTCGAAGAGCTGACGGACATACGGGCCTTGAAATACTCGCTTTAGGCAGCGGATTCTGCACAATGGTGAGAACTTGGATGACAATGTTATGCTGCGCGTGCCCATGGATGTGCAGCTGGTGTTGCTGCCATTTTGGGGGGCCTCGCGTGCGGAGGTGGAGGAACTCATTGCTGCCACTGACGAGGGGGACCTGGTTCTGGTGGAGAGCATTCTTTGCCGTCCTCAAGCATCAGACTTGACCATTGAAGACGACGGAGAGACGGCTCTTGTTGTAGCGGCTTGCCGAGGCCATGTGGGGACGGCGCGTCTAGTGTTTGGGGGCGGGTGCCATTGTTGACAAGATGTACTTGGAAGCCGACGAGCCACAACATTTCCGGAGAACTGCTCTGTCTGTTGCCTGCCGGCTGGGTCATGTTGAGATGGTACGGCTGCTCTTGGATGCCAGCGGCGACCCGTACCTAGGGGGGAGTCATGGCCACGCCGTGTTCCAGGCAACAGATGTTGGCCACCTGGATGTTCAGCGTCTGCTGATGTCTCAAGACATTGCCACTAATCAAAGTAGATTTTGGGTTGCGGAATCACAAGGGGGTGCTGCTGCCCTAGCAGTTTTCGACGGGAATGCGGGAATGCGGATGTTCTGGAGGTACTCCATACGAGCAAAAAGAGCTGCTGCCTAGCTTGGGTCTGCCTGCGTGTCATGCGCACTTGGCAGCACGTGTGCCAGTGGTGGATTTGGATGGAAGCCATTTCCGGATGACAGCTCGTTGCCACGTTGCCGGTTGAGTTGAGGCATGTGGAACACGTCAGGATATATGTGTTGGCGCTTGCTGCAGAACCCGTGCATGCCGATGGTATATGAAAAAGTATTCACATTTGCTCCGTCTTCCAGTAAGTCTGTTGTATTGTTGGAGCTCTCAGCCCGCACATGGCTTTTCCAGGGCTAGCCACGCAAACCAAAATCCTGGATTCTCTGCTGCAGTCTTTTCGCCGATCATATGTTAAGGGTCTAGAATCCGAGATAAACTTGAATATTCAGTAATGCCCTTTGCCAATGTTTGGTAATATCCCCTTAGTCGGCAAAATGGTGCCTTATGATCATTTTTCACTCATTCCCTCAATAGTGCAGCTGTTTCTAGCCGAGTGTGCGTAGTAGTAGTGGGATGGTAAACTTTGCTTGTCCTCCGATTACCAACGTAGTCCTCTTCGTCTTCCCAGCCAACCATCAACCCTAAACCCAACATGTTTATTGCTCCCCTTGGTGTTCTCAGTACTTTCCTGCGTCTAGCGTAGGATCCGCCCATGGGAATTAGGTGATGATAGCACCCCTCACGACTCAGAATTGTACTGCGACCTGACGCTCTTAATCCAAAACCGTGCATCTTACAGCCCAAGCCTCGACACCAATCCTAACATGCCATCCAGCAGCATCCCGTTGAAGGTCGCTCCAAACTCGAGGCTGACAGAAAAGTTTCATACAGAGCTAGCAAAAAAGGCCTTCACCTTCATTTGTTCCTGCAGGAGCCCAATGAAGCCGGTGAAAATTTTCAAGATTTTGCTTTGGGGTTCTAATGTGTGAGCCGAAGTGTCTCATGCGAGACTTTGTTTAAGAAAAGCAGTCCCTCCCCTCATGTACCTGCGTGCATGTATATGGTTGTTTGCAACAATGACGCGTCAGCAATTCATGAAAGGGCGTACGTTTGACCCCTCCGATACATACCCTGATACATACCCCGATACATACCCCGATACATGCCTCGATACATACGCCGATACATACCCCCACAACGTCCCTTTCGTCAAGAGCCCAGCACTAAGATACATACCTCGAAACATGCTCCGAAACATACCTCGAAACCTACCACCGAAACGTACCCCAATCCAAACATTCTTTTTTGACCACGGCTTAGCCGGAAAGACCCATATATGTGTATGTGTATATATATATAGATATGTATATATGTATATATATATATGTACACACACACCCCTCCTGTTGAAAGGACCCCAAAAGGGACTCATGATTGTGAGAAACTCGAGGCACGGATCAGAGCACGCAGTGGCTCAGGGGACTTTGTAGCACAGCGTCCTAAACACCAATACAACCCCAATATACTATAGTCGCTTCCATTTTCTTTCCATTTTCCCTCTAGAACCCCAATGTACCCCCAGTATACCCCCAACATAATCCCAATATATCCCCAATATATCCCCAATATATCCCCAATATAACCCCACTATAACCCTAATATAACCCCAATAAAACATTTCGAGCGCACTTACGTGGGATCCCAGGTCTGCCTGGGAGAGTTTACGTAACAAACTTGAAGCTACAAACCCGGACCTCCAGGCCGAAGTCCTGAACCCCCAGCCTGTAGTGCATATGAGCTATATTCCAAACTCCTTTTACAAGTAGCAGGGTTTAGGGTTTAGGGTTATGGGGATTATTAAGGGTGATATTTGGAGTTTAGACTATAGCGCATATTATTATGGCCAATTCTGAAAGCAAGGGCGTCTCCACAATATTGCCATGCCCCGCCCAAAAAAGACTTTAGACCGGGCTTGGTAAGTTTGAGAAATACCCAATCGCGTTGGGCTCCACTGAGGTCTGGAACCTAGCCCCTTGATGGAGGCGCTGCTGGCCTGCTTCTCTTGGAGAATATTTGGGGGTTTCCCAAAATTACGGGTACCCTTTTGGGGGGGTCCCCATAATGAGGACTATAGTATTTTGGGGTCTATATTAGGGTCCCCTTGTTTTGGGAAACTACCATTCGTTGATTTTTCATGACAGGCAACTTTCGAGGAATGAAGGAACATGTGGCTCTGTGCTGGCTGTGCCAGCCTGGTCGTCAAGCATGCTTTTTCCGGTTCTGCGGCCCAACAGTCTGGATTGCTGTATTTGGTGACTTGTAGGTGTCAAGCACATACATGAAAGAAAAACCCTAAACCCTAACCCCTAAACTCTGAGCCCGGGGATCCTCTTCGGACCCCGACTCCGAGCTCCCCATACTTTTCGCCTACGTATGAGCCATAGGCTAAACTCCCTATATATGGGGGGTTAAGGGGGATGCTAGGAATCTAGACTATGGCTCATATATTCCAACGCGTCAGGCCCACTTTCGATTCCTGTTTCAGGAGTTCCAGGGTAAATCGCCGCTCGACGGACCATCAACCTGAAACCCTAAACCCTAGTCCCTTGTTAGGCTATATCGAAGTTAGATGGGGATAATGGAAAAGAACATCGAAACTACTATGTATCATTTAGGGTCCACAGGTCCCATAGCCGCAATCCTTCTCATTCTCAGGCCCAGAAGCCCGATTACCTTTTGGTTTTAAGTACTCAGAAAGTTGTTCCTATGATGCTTGCCCAGTCTGAATTCGAATTCTTCACCCAAAGCCCCCTATGCAACCCGCCATTACCCTCTATGCAACCGCAAGTATATATAGCCCCCTGCATGTTTCCTTCATTCTCCTCCTGGTCCGGAAAAAGAAAAAGTCCTGAACCCATAAACCTTAATCCCCCCAACTCGAGCCCAGAAACCCTTTTGATCCCCAAGCCCCCAATGCTTAAGCCCTGAAAATGCCTAAGCCCTGACCCCCCCAAAAATCCCAACACTTCGATACTTGGAGGCTTATGGGACTTCGTAGCCACTTTTGACTGGGCTTATAACCCTACTTATAATCCATGACCCTCCAAGTACAGTCCCTCGAAGCCTTTGCAGGCGCCCTGGGAGCCGCCTCCGGCGGCACAGCCTGAGGAGCCCCAAGAGGTGGTCGAAGAGGAGGTGGCTTTGTCTACTTTCTTCCCAGACCTTTTAAAGGATCCCCAAAAAATGGAACCCCCTTATGGGGGTATAGGGGTTATGTAGGGTTTATTTAGGGATAATGGAAAAGAAGATGGAGACTACTATTTCGGGTTTAGGGTTTATAGGGCTAAAGGATCCAAAAATTGGAACCCCCCCAATATGAACCCATTACTACATTGGGGAAACTAGGGGATTATTGGGGGGTTTGGGTTGTGAGGAGTGGGAAAGATCATAGAAATTGCTATCTTACAATCAGTGGTGCATTGGGAGTATATATGGGCTATGAAGGGATATTTAAAGGAATCAAAAAAGGAATGGAAATTACTAATTAAGGTCTAGGGCCTAGGGTAGCGAAAGATAGGGCAAACTACTATGTAAGGCATAGGGCTTCTGGTGTATGGGTAGCGAAACGATAGTGGAAGCTGTCATTCAGGGTTGAGGATGTCAGGGTAGCTTGTCAGTAAGGAATGGAGGAATGGATCCCTACAGTCGTAGATTGGTGCTAAGAGGGGATACGTTCAGCTTAAGGTTGGAGCTCGCCTCAGACAATGCTAGGACGTGCAGCGCGCAGCAGCCGCTGGACAAGTCGACCCACATTGTATGTTCCGTGAGCCCCAAATCTTTCTCTGCAGTCTTTCAGGCCCCTTTTGTCCTTGACATATGGTATGCTTATCAGCAAGATGGGAATGCCTTCAAGGCTTGAGAAAGCTTGTCGCAGACATGACCTCTTGACAAAAACCTGGCCTTGACACCCTGCTTTCAGGGTAGCGGTGGACGTACATGTGGTGATAGGTATCCAGAAAGGGTCATGCAGCCAGAACTCTACCTAAGCCTAACCTTGAAGATTTGCTGTCTACCTGACACCTGGGCCTTCAAGTGCCGACGGCAGGTTCCAAAGACTTCGGCATCTGCCACGGCCCTTGTTCCACCCCCTGCCAGCAGCGAGGCGCTGCCAAGCAAGCCATTTTGAACGCACTTTCCAACGGCCGGGAACACGCCAGCCCTTCTACCTTGTTCCACCCCTAGAACTTCTTTAGCACGGCCCAAGTGTTACACGCAGCAGTCCGTGCTACATTTCAACCTTATTCGTGTACGAATGAACTTAGCTTGTCTGGCTGGTTTCAGTCCTCCTCTCTGGCCCTGAGCAGCTTATCACACATGCACTCTGAAGCACTTTGAGACCTAACTTGTCGCCGTGGACCCCCCAACCACCACATGAGTTTAGCATAGGAAAGAAGGGACTTCCCGGTGAGGAGCGTCTAAGGGCCCAGGAGAAACCAGGACATGTATCTCTACATGTACTAGAGTGTTAATGCCTTGGAAGTGGGTTTATATGGGGGGTTATAGGGGATACCAGGAGTTCGGACTATGGCTCATATGTACATTCTTCGTTATTACCCAGAAGATTCTTCTCAGGATTAAGGCTTCAGGGTCAACGCAGTTACAGGGTCACAGCTGATCTGAACAGCATTTTACACAGGGACACAATAGCGATTCGGAAAAGAGTTCGGTTCGATGTTCCTCAGAAGTTCTGCATGTCTCGTGGCAAACTGTGTGCTACTTACTCTAGGCCCCGCACTGAATCAAATCTAAACGATTTGTACGAAGAAAGTCTGCTGGAAGACTTGGTACACAAGGCTATGCCAGACGAGCGGCCGCTTCTCTTGTGATGTGCACCTTAAAGTATTTAGGGCAAAGCTCAAAGGCCTTGTGAAACTCAGAAATCACTTTACTTACCCAAGTGCAGCGCAGGGCAAGAAGAACAAGAAAGACCGGCCGAATTCAGCGACCTCACAGCAGCCGCTCCCAGAGGCTTTGAGCGCACTTCTGACGATTGCTAGCATGAACTGCCCATTGCTATGCCCGTTCCACTT